GGGGTCGCTGTGCACTACTCTGCCTTGCGCGGCTGGTGGCACCAACTTGTGGGCTGTGCGCGTGTTGTGTGTCGTCGTCTTTGTTTGCGCTGCTTGGCTCAGGGGCGCCTTTGTGGTCCTTTCTCTGCTGCCACCGCTGCTGCTGCTGCATGGTTCTGGCTGTTGTTGTCGTCGTCGTCATTGTTGTGTGTTTTGTATTTTGTTGTTTACTAGCGGTGCACGCTGCCTCAGGTGGGGGCGACGGCTGGCATGACTCTCTGAGCACGGCTGGATGCTTCTTTCTGATTCCTTGTTGGAGGTTGGGGGTCGGTTAGCAGGCGGAGGGTTTTCCTGATGGGTTAGCAGGCAGAGGGTTTTCTTGATCGGTTAGCAGGCGATGGGTTTTCCTCATGCTTGCGCTTCATTGCCGAAGCTCTATTCTCTTGCATTTTGAGTTCTCCTTTTATTTTCCCTTCTGGCTTGGCGGATAACGTGCATTTTGAACGCACAGACTTGATGTGTCTCCAGCCGTGTTTAGGAGTAGCTCATGACACGTAGTATAGAGGGTTTTTTTTTTCTTGGACATTTTTAGCATGTCGTTTTTTTGTTACAATTTTGAGGGTTTGAAGGATGAGACGTGTTCTGAAACTGAAATAATGTTGCAGGCATTGTCAATCTGGGTGTTTGTAATGAATGGATGTTTCAGTGAGACACTGAGGTCATAGGTTCTGATTGCGGTTTGACATGAGGAGGTTATCTCGTCGTCCTTCTTGCATGCTTCCAGCTTTCCCTGGATCTGTTTGTTCTAACTAACAAGGGAATGGCACACGCAGACAGAGCTTACTGCTGGGGCCTGAATGTTGTCAGTAGCCGAGATATACCAGCGTCTGTGTGTAGTGGTTAAGTACTTCTTTGTTGCTCGCTAAAGACTTGATTGAGTCCCAATTCCCTTGTGTGGGGAGAATTTTTAATGAGTATCTCAGTCGATCTGCTGGGATGTTGTATCCCTCTCAGCCTGGTTTTGCCATGACAGATAGGTTCAAAACCAAAACCAGCTTCTTAAATGACCTAAATTGTGTCTATCGGGGACGTAAAAACACCTACTTTTAAAAAGTAAACCCGC